CACGCATACACGCTCACACGCACACACCACGGTACATTTTCAGTACTTGCACTCTTTTCATTCCCCCAACAGTGACTGTGAAATGACTCAATATTTTAATCAACTGTATCTAATTTGCACTCCAGCAGAAGATAGGGCCACATGTGTGCTGTTGTTGCCCTGGCTGGCACTGAGTATGCCCACCGGATGCCTCTGAGCCGCCCTGGATTGCCACGCTTGCCAGTCTCTGCGGTCCACTCGGCGCGTCCGTCTCCAATCCATCCCCCCTTAGCTAGTCTTCAGTGGAAATATCAGGTCATTGGCTGCTAAGCTCTGGTTAACTACAAAGGTAATTAAATTTGTAAGCAGGCTTTTTGAATCTTTTTAGCCTCTTTGGTAATACCAGCAGGGATTACTGCCTTTTCCAAGCACAGCTCTGTTTTGACGCCCTGGCAGAAAAGGGGGCCAAGTCCCCATGGCCAGGTAGGGTCACATCCGCTAAAGCCCTGACTGTTAGATCCAGAGCCGTGACATCTTTACCATAGCCATACATCAGGAACAATGTTTGTATATCAGATAGTCTTGTAGACTCTACAGCAAGACATAGTGTTGAACCTGTGCATTAATCTGAGTGTTTGTGTTCAGTTCTATTCAATAGTCATATGAGTTTATCACCTGATATATGCTCATGCCCTGAAAACCAGAACCCTAACACCAGTGTTTTGGTTTTGAATAAAACCATCGTGACACTGATTTGCATCATTTGTGGCGTAGAAAAGAGCGAAGACTTTTGTAAATTAGGAAACTTCTTTTTGATAACATGATGTTGTCCCCTACAACAGTTTGACTTAATTTGCAAAGACAGCAAAATTAAAAAAGGATTTTGTGAGGGCTCTCTCAGGAAGGAGATGAAGGGAGAGCCCCAGCAGGGGCACTCTGTAAGAAAGCTGGTTCCTTGATTATGATGCATTAATGTAAAAGACATCCTTCCCATACAGTTTCCCTAATTTAAACTTTTGAATGCAAAAAAATGATATTGCTTCTGTGGAGATTACAGCACAGCTATTTGAATGTAACTGTAACCTCCAGGTTTTATCCCACCCTGTCTGATCTTTTAACTATAGATTAACTCCACCTCAGACTCAAAAACAAGCTAGCACTCGCCCTATTCAACACACCTATGGCTAATACCCGCCTTTAAGCAGAAACTCTTAAAAACTTCAATGTGTTTCATCAACTCAAAAACAACACCAAGCGACATAGTTTGCACCATGTAGAGACTGTTTCCTGAAGATAACATCAACAGCCATGAATCTTTGGAAAAACATCTGAAACAAGGAGCTTAATATTGGGATTTTTTCCATTCGTCCACTCATGTCAAAGTTGATCTAAATAACAAGAAGAAGTCACAGTGAGGCTGAGCTGCCGAATCAAAAGCTGTGTAATCGAACATCTAACATGTCTGGTATGTCTGGCAAGTCTTGCTTGATTAGAACGACAAATATTCTTGCTATTGTCTGGGTGGATGCTAAATACGTACGTCAGGAAAGGTCATCAAGGAAGTTTTTATGTAACTCGCTCTGTAAAAACACTAAGTTGATTAGACTTGTTTATTTATTCAGGTCCAAAAGAGTGTTTGCTTTTGTCTCATTTATTCCCATTTTGCCAGCACAAGGGGCCCTGGAAGACGAGTTACCAAGGAACACAAAATTTTAATTAGTGTATTTTAATCATTCAGGCTTTTCAAGCTAATCCACAGACTCCTGAGAATTCCCAAGATGCAGCTCTGTGCTGCTTTACCATTTATTGTTGAGTCTATTATAATTACTGTTAGCAGGTGGGGGCAGGGAGACGTTTATTATGTTTTTCCATCTTTATTATAATTACTAGAAAAAATGAAAGGATGCTGTTTCATTAAGTTTAGAGATGATGCCATTTTCCCCCTGTTTTTCCCCTCAATCTCCTTCCTGCCTTTGTTCCATAATGCTATTGTATTGGCTTTCATTCCAGGGCTTTCATACATTGCACAGCTTTATGAGAAAAAAAACAACAAAAAGAAACAGATCTCTTATTAAGAACAGAAGAGGGGAAAGATGGTCTTAAAGAACTTAATTTCTGAGAGACTTTTCTCTCTTCCCTCTTTCAAATCCACACAGTGCTCTGAGAAAGAAGTTAGGCATCCTCTGAAACACAAATGTTTAATAGGGTTGGACAGGGATCAGAACAGAAACGCAAAAAGTAGAGTATGTTTGCCTCTCTTTCACGCTCTTCAGTAATGACAGATAAGAGGACTGCAGTAAATCTTTAAGCCCCATGCTTTTGGTGCTCTGCAGGGATTTTAACATCTTCCAGAAATATTTAATGTTTGTCTGTTTATTTAAATACCACATTACCACTCCCTCTTCATTATATCCCAAATGCCTGCAACTTGTGCATCTTAAAACAATCAGGCAGCTAAAGTTTTGAGGCAAATGAAGGGCTGTTTTCTTTCTTAGATTTCTTTTTGTTTCCCTGTTTGAGACACTTTTCAGAAGAACAAACTTTTAGTTCCTTTTCATGTAGAGCCACTCCTTTGTAAGATGGAATGCGTCCTTGTGTATTGGAGAGAAAATGATGACAACAGTTTTTTTTGGATGCTGAATGAGTTGACTAGTTGATTGGAGCTTGTAGTGTGGTTATGTTGGAGTTAACTACATCACATAAAACTTAACGCTCACAGTCATTTCAATGTCTGTCAAGGGCACCATTTTGGCAAATGATCTCATGAATTTTCTTAAGTGAGCAGATCTGAAGCTGTCACTTTGCTCGAAAGCAATAAGCTAACAAACTTTATTTCAGAATGATGTCATTAGACTTTCAATTGTGTGAATAGCTGCTGTGCTCTAAGTCTTGGCTCGCTAACATCTGAAGGGTAAAATCCCCTCAGTTTTGCTGTTCACCGGTGAAACCTCATGTCTAGAATTTACAATATAAAGATGACTCAACTCACTCCTTTGGAAATCCTTACAAAAATAGACTTAAAACAATAAATTGTAATCTTTTTTATTTATTACCAACAACAGTGATTTGACATTTATGTGTTATTGCCACAGGAGCTGAAATGGTCAAGTCTTGACAAGAGAGCCTTTACTCTGAAGAGGCAAACAGACAGATTGAGTCGATAGATAAACAGTGAAGCTGCCTTTGTAAAAGACTTGGAGACTGAGTTTGCATGCACAGTGTCGTATTTTATGGTTGAGTGGCTGTATTTGTTCAGAAGATTTGAAGAGAAGGGTTCTCACCTGTTGTACCTGGCACAGTAACAAAATAAAGTTTTTATTTGACATCTTGGATATGTCCTGAGACAATTTCCAGGAATCCAGTATTTTGAGTCAGTTTGTTGTATCCATAACAAATAGCTTGCAGTCAGTAATACAAGATACCAAATGTAGTCTACTTGTAGTTGTATGTACAGCAAATAAGTTACATTATGTGATGCAAGTTTTGCACAAACTATGAGGACATCCATGTTGCAAAAGTGGTTGACTATGCAGATTATTCTATTTCAATTGTGGTGCAAAAAACTCATCAACTGTAAAATTTCCAAAATACCTGAGGTACATCAAAATGATCAGACCCCTGTTCAACGGAGGAAGTGGTTATCCTTTAGATTTGACAAAGCTAGCATTTTTATTGTGCTGTTATTTCAACATCATTCTGACTTGTAAACTGCAAGGAAGTCACAAAAAAAATAATGTTTTCATACTACCAATGTAAGCCAAGGTAAAGAATATGTGCATACTAGAAAAAGGCGTAGTGGTACACGAAGCAGATAAAACAGGCGCTATTCCAAGGTAATATAATGAACTAAGAATTTTCATCCTTTACAATATAAACCTAAATGAAACATGAAAAAAGAAGTCCTGCCTGGAAGTTGTATTTATTTCTGCTGACCTGCACTGGAATGACTGAAAAAGTATGAACCTTTTCTAAGGAGAACTGGCTAGCGTAGCGGGTTGAATATGCACCCCATGAACAGAGACTGTAGTCCTTAATGAAGCAGTCACTGGTTCGACGAGAGGCCATGATTCTTTGCTGCATGTCTTCCCTCACTCTCTACTTCCCACCTTTTCTGTCTCTCTTTAGCCAGACTAGGTCCTCACAAAGACTCCATAAAAAGATTGTTATCATGGTACATGGGTTATGAAATGATACAAGTTGATACGATATATTTGTGATACCAAAAATTTTAACATGGAGTTTTGAACGAGTCTTTTGATGGAGTATAAATTTCCATTCTAACTCATCATGACTTAGGGTTGTCACAATACTAAAACAGACAACTTCAATATCACACCAGTAACAACACTATTAACACCAGGTTTTGTCCTTGGTAAAAAAAAAAAAACCTGTAAACATATTTGTTATTTAATTCAATAGTAAATTAGGGCATACTAAAGAGGATTTACCCCAAAAATGAGCATCGGTCCATTTGAAATGACCCCTTCTCATTTATTCCTTATAACCTGGCTGAAGTATGATGTAGTGGTTGTATCTGTACAAAGTTCTCTGTCTGTAATTATAAGATTTTCTCTTTATGTTGCTGATGGGACATTTTTGTTTATATTTTTTCACAGCCTTAATTAGGGGCATAATTTTTGAAACATTTTGTTACTTTAGATTGGTGATATACTGAGCCATTGAGAATTTAGGGCCTGATGTACTAAAATCCCAAATAGCCAGTATTGTTTTCGTTGGCGATGATGTTAAAGATGAATATTTCGTCAACGTCATTGTCACGATAATATTTCATCAATACCCCTTTTTTTCCACGACGAAGACATGATGTTGACGAGCTAAATATTAGTCTGACTAAAATGTGATGAGACGGATGTGCGTTTACATGACGAGACGAGACTAGACGAAAATGTTAGTGGTGGACGACGAACAGAGTTGCAAAATTCATGAGCATTTCATCAGTCAAATGCTGAACATATATTCTGCAGTGTTGTTTGAAAATATTTTGTCAACGTCATCGTCAACGAAAGCAACACTGCGAATAGCGAGCGCTAAATTAAGTGAACAAACTAAAAAATTGCATGTGCTATTAGTGGGCATGTTGCGGGTGATCTGGCAGAGTGGCTGTCAACAAAAAATGAAGTTTGAAGCCCTGGATTTGCACCTATTGTTTTGGAAAAGCCAGCAACAGCATAAAAGCTGTGTTTTGTATCATTTACAGCGTCTTGAGTGTGTAGGAACTGGATATACTGGCCCATCCTGCGTGACCTAGCATTCAACACTTGGTACAGCACACCAGAATAACTACTCTGGGAGACGCCGGCGCTAATTGCGATAGTGCGCTGGAATGATCCAGATGCAGAAAAATGCAGTGTTACAAAGAATCTTTCCATATAGTAGATACGGATCCTTTTTGTGACTGGCTTCAAATCAGTCCTTAGATCATCTAGAAGAGATTCTCTTTATCCTTTGTCTGTCATTGCACCTTTGCCTCCCTCTTGCCACGATGACCACTGCCATTTGTGCGTAACGCTGTGCCAGTTTGCATCTGCCTTTTAAACGTGCTAAATATAGACGCAAAAACACAGACCACAGTCAGTTTCTGGGTTTGATAAATCACGTTGCAGGTGCTAAATGATTCCATTTGCATCTCCTCCACCCCTGTATTTTGTGCATACTTTCTGCATACTCATGAAGGCAAAAACACTAAATGGATTGCGCATGGTGTTCTGCTTATTTGACAGATGAAATCCTCTGTGCGCCAGGTTAGTAGATCAGCTTTGCCCGCTATCAAGTTTGCACGTGTTTTTATACATGCAGCTCTAGTAGATCAGGCTCTTAGTCTTAAGTGCTTGATTTCTCCATGATGAGTTTCAGTAGTTGTTGATGAGTAAAATAGCCCAACATAATCACAGAAGTGAAATGTTGTGTTTGGAGTTTGAAATATCACAAAATGAACTTCTCCATATATCTTTGTGTTTAAGCACTTATGAGGGAACTGATGCAGGGTTTCCTAGAGCACAAAACCAAACACGGCTGACCTCAAGTGTTTGATTGTTTTTTTATGCTTCTTGTTAGCATTGGTACATTAGGCCATGTTGACTTTGAGGGTGTTTACTTATTTTTTTCCATCAGCTGTTATGTACCATTGTCAAGTCAAGTAGTATCTCCACTAGTTGTGCAACTTCAGTGCTAGCCAGTTTGAGATCTCTTGTAACATATCATTGCCTGTCTTTGAGATGAACTTGAAATATCTCACTTTACATGTAATGAATCATAGTTGACGTCTTAGAATAAAGTACTAAAAACACACTAATTTTGAGATGCATTTGTAACTAGTAATGTCCCTCAAGCTTCCCTGTCCTGTTTGTTTTGGCCCTCTTAGTCACAAGGTTTCATGCAGTTAGAGTTATTGTTTTGACCCTTGCTACCTTTAGATTTGCCTCCTCAACTTGAAACTGTCAATCCCTGTGAAATTCTTTAAGCTTCGCTGTGTATTTAGCACCACATCATTGCTCTATTCTGGGATGTTTTGAGGGCAGAAAGGAGAGGAGAGAATGCATCCATCTCAAGTGGATATTTTTCATGTTTTCATGAAAAATTCCACATCCTCTTATGAGGCTGCTTTCAGGGAAAAAAGTCACAAGATGTATTTCAGGATAGGTCATAGGGAAAAATAATTAATAGACCTCTCAAGTGTGAAAGGCCATTCTGATGCAATTATAGAGTCTTTGTGAAGTGTCAGGATTTTGGAATTATAAAATCGTTTTGGATTGGCAGCAGTAATTATGGCAGGTGAAAGAGACATTCTCATGTGTTTGCTGACACTGCTGTCCAGTCTTTCCGCTCCATTTAGAGCTTTCTTTGTAGTTTCCAACACCAGTATATTTTTAACATCTTCAGGCATCACATGAAGATGCTTTACATCTGACTATTTAATAGTTAACTGCTTCTGTTCATATGATTTTATGTATTGTACTTGACAGAATCTAGAACTTACTTGTTCCTGTTTTCATATTTGTTTATCAGTGTAAATTACTGATTTGTAAGAATTTGACAGGGGCATCTCCTGGTTGATGTTTGCTCTTTTGTCTTATCTATTACCCTGGATTTGATTACTCAAAAACCAAGGCAACACAGTATGTATTTTTTTCAAACTGGGCCAGTGGAAAAGGGAAAACAACTTTATCCAAGTAGTTTTCAACTGGAACATAAAAGTCCACCTTAAATATTATGGATAAGTCATAGCTGGTGATGATGATCATTCAAAGCTTTTATCTACTGGCTGTGGCAAAGACTTGACTCTGATTTGTCAAAACCCTACAACAACAGTAATTAAACCTTAACAACCGAAGCAATACCAGGGATGACCTGATCACACACGTGGTATCAAATCAATTTGCATAAAAGGGTCTGGCCCATTTCAAATCTGTCTGTCGCCACTGTGGCTAAAATATAAGTTTCTATTGAAGGCTGGTCTTGAGAACTGGTAAGTAATGACAGTTGTCCAAGCACGGACATAAAAGCAGAGTAGTTCACTACCCAACAAGGGCCTATGGATGTAAAACAATATTCCTGTTTAAAACAGTTTCCCTCAAAGATGTGATGAAAAATATCAGCAGTTATTCTGAGCCTTAGAAAATGTAGGTTCCTGTCAAGAATGGTGGAGTGGAACAGGGGAAAACAATAAAATCTGGGTCACGTCTTACCAGCCACAGTGAAAAGGTGGGCTCTGACGGTCACAGTTAAGTTTCACAGTTATTCAGCTTCTTAAAGGCATCACTAATTAAAAACATCACAGCAGAGTTTAAATTCTGTGTATGTGGTACAGTAACAGGAGAGTCTTCATTAGACCTCTTAGTAGCTTGGCCTTGATCAGCTTTGTGGAATAATAATGAGTGCATCTGTTCTCCACACAGAAAGCCAGGTGATGTTTAGGTTTTTGTATAATAGTAGGGCAAGTGATTCCATTAGCATCCATGATGGGTCTCCTGGGGTTACAGAGGACAGAAAACATGTATACCGCTTCTGCCTTTTTTCCCCTCTTTTTTTTTAATCAGCTTCAGATCTGTTTCCCATGATGCAATACAGAGGCTCTTTTCCTAGTCTGATGCTGAGGTCCATGTGTTTAGTTGGAGCGAGGCAGGCTAACCAGACCTTATAAAAGTGGCATTAAACCATCAGACATCTCCCCTCACACAGCACCCACGTCCACATCGTACAAATTACTGCTCAATTTGGCTGCAATCATGCTCTTAACATGGAGCTGGTTTGGAGAGGAGCTTTTCTAATTATGGGCAATCTGTAAAAGATTGTTGTTGTGATTACAGCACAGACATATGCCCTAGTGCAGAGTACATACAAACTAGAGACTGGCACACTTCAGTCCCAAAAGAAACCCTGCATAATGCCTTAACTATGAAAGTTTAAAAGTAAAGATCTTATAGATTTATTTCAAACATTATCTATTTAATAATGGTTGAATACATGATTATTAAAAAAAACAAACAAACAAAAAAAACAATAATACTTTGTTTACAGAAATAAATGTGCTGAATATGTATTTCTTACAAAACAAAAGAGGAGAGTCAGGACGGTTTAGCTTGAGTTATAATAGTTGGACAAACTTCATTTCAGCTATCTGATCAGGAATTGCATGGAGACAAGATTAAAAAAAATCCTCATTGTACATACAGTTCTGAGGATGATACAGTCAAGAGACAGAAAATGAAATCTTTGAGTGACCTGGTGCAAATTCAGTTTCTTGTGCCTGGATAAACAAAGTGGATTGATCCGCCTATACTCTGTGTTTTAAGCCTGTGTCTCCATGTCGCCTTTGAAAAACTCCTCATCCACCCAAACCGCCACACGTGCCCTTTTCCTGTCTCTGTTTATTACATAGCCATGATCCTCTTACCAAGGCTTCCTCTCTAGTGGAATAGCATATGTTTCTTGTTAAGCCCAGTTTCTTTTGCTCATCGCTCAAGACGAGCATTTGCCAAGCCAAAAAGCATTGAGAAAGCCCGACTTCTGCCATTCTTTTACCCCCCCCTCCCCATAATGTCTCTGAATATTTCAAATAGCTGAGGTTTGAAATTAATTTGCTGCCACAACAAAAGAGCTCAGTGTTTTAATAGCATTGTAAGTAATTTTAAGTTAATTCAGTAACCTTTGAAATAAAGTTCAGGCAGCCACTAAATTGTGGTCGTCGTTGACAAACACAGAGGTCATGGAAAGGACTGGAGCTTATTCATCAAAGGATTAGTGGGATTTCATTTTGGATTTGCTATTTTTCATCCAATGACTCTCAAAATGTGTCACTGAGACACTTTGGAGGACTTATTAAACAATTACCAGTTTTGATTAGATCATTTCTAAAGCCTTGACTTTTTTCACAGCGACTCCTCTGATGAGCACCAACAGTTGTGTTCAGAATTCAACAAAAGTCTGTCTTAAATTATCACAGGAGGCTTTTTGGATGCTTTCAGAGGTACAGTTCATTATGCAGGTAATTCCCCTTCACGGTAGGAGTCGTAAATTGAATATTCACAATTTTCACAATCTTTTCTGTGATGTATACATAACTTTGTCATCTGTAGAAATCATCCAGATAAGAGGAATGTAGCTAATCATGAGTTACTGAACCATCTTAAAACCACATGTGTAATTTAAACTATCCCCATCAACATTATAACTCCAGACATAAATAAGTGGCACCCCTCATAATATATTCAACAATATGAGAGTATGGCTGTGGTGTCACCTCCTTTTTAGTGTGAATTTTCCCCCCACATTAAATGTAAGCTGTTATAGGGCCCAAAGGAGCTCAGCAGTCTATTTTCCAATGATGTTGTCAGCCATGTGGCTTACACCCCAGAGAGGTTGAAGGTAATCAGCCTTTTCATCTCCAGAGGAGGGGCAGTGTCGAGGTCCATGGCTGACTCCATATTTCCCTCAGCTGTCCTCACTGATTCTTCACTGAGTCCTGTCTCATTTCTGAGGGCTGCCTTTCTTATCCTGCATTAGTAAATCAAGATGCTTTTCTTCATGTTGAGCTCAGTGTGTTTGCGTGTTAAGTCTCTTAAAAGTCAAAGAACATATGGGAGATGAAATGTTTGTCTTCTTTTGGTGCTTTTTAAGATTTACAACACAACTAAAGCCGAACCAAAAAGTCAGGAGATTGGTTTGAAGTTCTTAATATGATAAATGTTTGTTTTCTTTTTGGGATTATGAGCTTTTATTTTCATTATGTCCCTGTGTCTCTGATAAACATCCTCGAATTATGGAAAGAAAATCATCAAAAACAGCCTCCTATTGCCATCCTTAGTCTCGTGTGTTTATCCAGTGAAGAATGAAGACTGTAGGTTTAATTTAAAGACTGTTTTTGAAGGTGTGTTTTTTGTTGTCCCCATGATAATGAGCAGGAATCAGAACTAAGAGGGAAGATCAAATCCCAGTTTTGAGAAAAAGATCAAAACCCTAAATCCCCTCATTAGAGAACAAATTTCCTTTAAGGTTTTGAAATCTCTTTTCTTCGGAGGGCACATCACGTTCACATTCCTCTTGTGTAGGTGTTGAAACAATTGCTCTCTTCTCTGCACCTCCCTAAAATAGCAGACGTACGGGGCTTGTAAGAAAATTAGTCAATTTAATTTCCTTGAGTAATGAAAATGTCATGCACCATTTAATAAAACCGTAAGAAAAAAGTCTGTGTTTCACACGGCGGAGATAGCTGAGGCCCCATGGATTTGAAAGTTTGACAGTTGCCCCTTTTGATGTTTTCTCCGAGTTTTGTTTCTTTTCTTTCTTGATGTGATTTTAAATTAATCTCAACAGCTTGGATGTAAATATGAAAATGAGACTTGTTTGGTCTCCCCCTGACAACCCAGAGCTCTGCTGGCTGAGGTAACCGATATCTCTTTCCCCTTTAAACTGCAAATTATTTTACGTTTATGAGTTTGTCTCATCTTCAAGGTCAAAAATGTAATTTTTGCTCTTTCAAAGGGTTATAACCTTAAAAGAGAGCCTCCATCCTTGCTGATTAATGAGAGACTCCTGCATTTGATGTTTCAACGGTGACATTTTAAACTTTAAATATTTTATATGCATACCTATGAAAAAAAATGAAGATATGCATTCATGTGGAATAAACGGTATTGCAGAGAAGAAAGGCTGGGCCGGGTATCATTTTAATAGAACAGTTAGAGTGCAATGGTTTTTCTTGGTGATTTTTATTTGAGGTTTTTATGTGTGCGCAAGCTGATTTAAAGGCACACTAAATCATTGGGGATGGGGAGTAGTGGATTATGCATTTAATCAAGGAGTAGGCCTTGGGAGAGTGGCTGGCCGAGTCACCAGGGCATCAATGAGGGGTTGGCTCTAACATGGGGCCTATCTTCTTTGTTCCTCACCATAATGGGCCATTTTCACATCATTTGTAAGGAAAAAAAGACAGAGCATGTGCGTCTGTACCAGCTGTGTTCCCACTGATCACTGGAATTATGCGAGTGTATGTGTTTAATAAAGAAAACTGGTATCATTAGGTGGCAATACTTAAAGCCACTTGGACATGAACTGCATTAGCAAGCTCTTACAGTTACATTCCTGCTTTTAGGCCAACAGATTAGGATGTTTGATTTATTTTGCAGATCTCCCACCTCACACAGTCATTTGTATTCAAAACACCAGGATTTCAAAGATACTTTCAGTTTGCGTTCCACAACAGCCTGGGGTATTCTGAAATAGATCCATGAATAGATCTGTCCCTCTTTGTCAGGGCAGCATACGACCAAAGGTTTCCCTGACCGATTGATATTTATCAGCTCTAGCAATTAGTCCACCAGTTTGCCAGTTGATTTGACCATTGGAATTCCCATTTTTCTGGACATTGAAATTGGCTTTGGAATTAGGGCTGATAAAAAAACATAAAAGTGAAATTGTTTTACATGAAACTGTTGTATATATATAAAAAAAACAACCTACAGCCAACATGTTTTGGCAATTACAGCCTATTATCCCAGAGATTTGGATGAAATACTTTGACGGATGATCAAAGTAGACATTGTACTACTTTATCATCAAATAAAACACAGGTAGCTTCAAAAACTAACTGCATCCGTCAATACACAATAAAAGCCATGTTCGTCTTCACTAAGCTTTTGGCTGTCAAACTCTGAGCATTGTCATTGGCCTAACATAAATTTGTATGTCTGGAGTAAGACAGACTTTTTCTTTCCCTTGTCAAAATTATGGTGCATGTTTTGCAAGTCTCAGTCATGTTACCCTTGGTAGCATATGCTTGTTGCTGTTGTTCTTCCTTTCTCTGCTTGATTAAGGATTGCTTACCAATATAGAAGGAAAAGTAGGGAATGACATGCAGCTAATGGTTGAAAAAGAACTACGGTCGCCTGCTTCAAGGACTACAGCCCTTGAGCATGAGGCATGTAATTTAAGTGCTAGACAAAATCCCTGTGCAGCAATTATTGGCAGTTGTGTTTATTGGACAAAATACTGACAAAATATTCCCATTACTGGCAGATATTGTAACACTGATATATACCAGACACCCACAGTTGGAGCAGCATAGGGAGACTGAAAACGTAATTCACCACAGCATGAACATTATTTCTCCTCCATCTCTGTCAACTTAACTCTGGCTAGCAAGAAAGACAAATCATAGTTGGGCAGCCTTTGGTTGCTTTTGGCACGGTGAAGATTTTCTGGTGAAGTTTGTAACAAAACTGGTTGTTAGACAAAAATATGACATTGGACTAAGTATGGAAATCTCAGGGTAACTCATAACACCAAACAGATACATGGTCCTCAATAAGAACCACCAATGTATCTTTGGTTATTAGAATATTTTTATTGGGTCAACTATTTGCTAAACTTAAAGAACTGAATGGAGTTTTGTTGGTCAGTTGTTGGGCATAGAAAAAAGTTATGAAGCATTATGGCTCTCATGATGTACTCTTGCTGTCCAATTGATGTGAAGAGACACAAACCATGAGATTGTTGGGTAACTTGGGCAAAATAAATTGACATCCTTTAAGCGTCTCAGAGATTCTCTTTTAAAGTCCCGGAGTATAATTATGGAATTGGAAAGAATCCAAATAGCATCAAATATTTCATATCAAAGGGTCAAGAAACAGTGTGTAATTTGTATTTTCTGTGTTGAAATGTTCTTTTAGTACTATCATGTCAAACTGACTATGGAAAAAACTGAGAGCTTTGAGAATTGTACCGTAGAGTTTCCACAAATCTGCAGTTTGTCTTGGTTGTGTCATTGGCCTTATCACAGTTAACACAGTGTTCCCCGTGAAATTGAAATACTCTGTCAGGGGTTTCGCATTTCGACATGGATAGGCGCGTGATGTAATGTAAAATATTTTAATTTTGCCATACTGTACACTTTGCATAAAGGACATATGCATGTTTGAAATGTGTCTGCAAAGTGAGTTTTTGGCCGTCTACAGCTGAGTGTTGTGTCTAATGTAGATGTCCTGTCAGCCTCAGGTAGGTTAACATCACTGTCTGCAAGATGTCCCCATTACTGCTGGTTCTTAGAAAATTAATATGTGTGCTTAATGCTTGATGACTTGCTTTCACACTGGCCAGGAAAGCCTAATGTTTAATTCAAAAGTCACAGTTTGCTTTGTATGTTAGAGCTGTGGAACTGTCTCAGGTCTTAATCGAGATGGCAGCATGCAAATTAGGGACAAATCTAGATAGAAAATAGGAAATAAAGGAAACACTATCATTTTAAGCACCAGCATCACTACATACAGTTTACAGGGTTAAAATTACATGTTTGCAATGATAGTGATAGTTCTGCTTATATGTATATTTATTTATAATGAAAAACAACTGGCTGTGCCTGCTTTGTGCCCTGTTTTGGGTTTTCATTTATGCCACAAGGATGAATGTGTTTCTTATTTAAACATTAATTTGGTCAATTATGCAGCTTAATGTCTTAATAACCTCCACTGCCGTTGGCTGTGCAGTAAGATAGGTGAAATATTTACCCAAAGTAGGATTTAAACAGGGACATGTTTTCTATAAGGGCATGGTTTGTTTTCTCCTCCTATTTGCTCCTGTGGGGGATTAATGCTGTCAATCACATTGACTGGCACCTCTCAAATCACACCCTTGCAGCAAAGTGGCTGATTTTGTCAGGGAGAGAATGGCGTTATCGGTAGAACCTTGTTTGGAGACTCACAAAACCGCTAAACCCGCAATTCATGGGAGATCTGTTTACAATCTGCACCGGCCATTGACTGCTAAACAGCCCGCGCAGATCCATCCTGGGCCACTCCGAGGAGGAGAGGAGCAGAGCAATTACATCCTCAAACAGCAATCTGAGGCTAGGTCGGCATGCAAACAGACATCAAGTACACACACAAACACTGACAAATTCAGACACAAGCAAAACGTTTACTCAAGACTTTGGGAAGTCTTGTCAAGCTTTGAGTATGAATATTTTTGGCCTGTCTAGTGTTGCACATATACCATGCAGTACAGTTATTTTGTTGACAGGAGTGTTTAATTTTAGTATACCTGATTCAGAACTAGCATAAGAAAATTGAATCCTGATACTTGAAAAGACCCTGTTTTGCAGCCAAAATAAAAAAGAAAGGCCAATAAAAGTCTTGACTTTGAAAGACATTCATGTTTGAAACAGTTGTTAATTAAAAAACATTAATAACAACAAAAAAAGGTCATCTGCAGCTTTTCTTTGATATTTAAACCCTTTAAACCTGATTTACTCATATTTTCATTTTGCCAGATGTGAGTCAAATTGTTTAAAGCTTTCAAACCAGGAAACTCTAAAACTTTCTTCAGTTGTCTTGTGGAACAGGTTCAATTCTCTGCGTTTTTCCAACCAGTGCACTCCCTAGTGTGCTGTGAGTGATTTCTGAATAATAAAATATGGACAGCCATGATCCTATTTAACTAAACATGGATTCAGGTGTCTCAGGCACACTTTTTTAGCAATCGTTTGGGATCATCTACTCTGTGTAAATTGGTGATCTTCCTCTAATTGTGTGGTACCACTAGAGATGTGTCAAACTGGTCCACTGACATCCTGAAATCTACCTGGAAGGAACTGGGGTAATCCTGCTGCTCCTGTACATGAAATTTACCTTGCTCTTATCTTTTTTTTTTTCCAGTGTGTATTAACCCTGCATTTTCTTTCCTTTTTGGCTTTTTGATTGATATATCCATTACTGTTTGTAGCTAAATTTTTGCACAAAAAATAAATAATTAAATAAAAGGATGATGACCAAAGCATGGTTTTTACAGAGAGCCAGTAAATCTTTGAAGAACTGCAAATTTACAGGAAATCTAGGGTGGATTTCCTGCATTTTCCTCTGGTGTCAAACTACCGTTTATAGTATATCACGTAAAGATATAAGAATGACCATCAATGTAATCTGTGCCATGACAGTTTCATACCAAAAACAGAGCAACTCCAAATCTGGATCCAAATGCTGTTCTTTCAATGACCGTTGAAGCAAGGCAGGATATTTGCCTGCCTTACAAAACAAGGTTAAAAGCTATAAAGATATCACTGGAAGATTAAAAGCATTAGAGGCGATGGCAGTGGATCATTTTATCTTGCCCAGTGCACTGCTAGTCAGCATCTTTCTCTTTTTTTTTTTTCTTTGGTTGTTGTTAAAGGACATATGGCCTTTTAATCCAAAGAGGCTGATTGTTGTTTTTACAGCTCCGGAAGTGTTTCTCGATTGGGGTGTACTAAATCATCACTCCGCTCAATGCTTTATAAAACCGCTAAAGGATTTCCACAGGGAAATATGTACTGCATGTGCTGTCCCGTTCTGGCTCTGTTTCTGTCCAGTAAAGGTAACCGACCTCAAACAAAGAAACACTGGAGTCAGTATTTGGTAAACCCATGTGGTTAAAGAATGTATGCTATGGAATATACAGTATTATGAGGTGCTGGACCTGTGATAACTATTCGGACTTTTGATTCAGACAAACACATCCACCCAATGAATGGAGTATGTTGAAGAGATACATTACAATAGGTGTCAGTCACGCTTTACGGCTCTTGAAATGTAAGCTCTCTTCTGTATATTGCCATGGGCATTAAAGCTTTGGGATGATGCAAACCTCTAAGTATATTGCTTCATCCATTACAGGATTTTAATAGTTGAGTTACATTATCGATTTTATTTTACAGTGATAAATACATCACTGATTGAAGGATTTTCATGTCAGAATGAATTGTATTTGTCTGGCTTTTTGATGAGTTAAAATGGAGATGGGACGTGTGAAGGCCATAAAATCTGTAGATGTGACACTTAATGTTGACATTACAACTGTCCTATGCAGCCTTTACACAGTGCTGTTTTTAAAAGTGTTAATCAGTAATCAGGAGAAGAAACTATGAAAGCCACTGAGTCTTTTTGATATGTAATTTAGTGCAGGTGAAATAGATATCAACAGAGCACTCAAAATATAAGATGGGGCTTTTAAACATTATGTAACTAGTGATGACAATAAAGATACAGAAAGAAGAATTTCTCCTACTTTGTCATTTTCTCACTTTGTGTTAAATCAAACTACAGCTGTCATACTGTAGAGGATGGCACAGGTCTCATCATGCAGAAACAAGGCAAGCTGCATGTTACAGCGTAAAAAAAAGACTAATAAGCAACAAAACAAATACATCTAACTGTGTGCATGTAAGAGTTTTTATCTGAAATTTGGTATTTAGAAGATTCAGTGTGAATGATGATATGTGACAATCAGTCACAGCAATTAGTGTTACTGTTAAGAAGCCTTTTTGTTTTCTCTCACCCATACAGAATGTCACAAATAAATCCTCACTTGCATTTGCATATTAATTGGATCTGAGACGTCAAGCATCTTTCATTAAGCAAAATGATCTGCATATTTGGAGACATAAAATAGTTTATTTCAATGTGGGAAAAGAAGTCATTGAAAATTGACCGCATATGGGATGTAAACTTTGGCTGATCCATTAACCCTTTACCCCCCGCAGCAGATTGAACACAAAGCAACAACAGGCTGATTAACAATGAGATGATGTTTGCCAGACTCACACAATGCAAAGTCTGATGCTGAAAATAAGGCAGAAGGGAGTTCAGATCCTTTTTTATAAGGTTATTATTTATGCTTTGTGCACAATATTAGTCAAACTTTGACATTAAAAAACACTTCTTGGAGAAGTGCATTGTTTTGTTGTTGTTGTATTTAAAAAAAAGAAAAAAAAATCAAGCTTTTTGTGAGAAACAAAATAGACAACTAGAACAAACACGATATTTTTAGGCTTGGAATTTGTGTTAATGCAAATATCAGACCTGTACTTGAATCAGCAGTTTAAGTTATCTTCTTTTCGGATTAGGCCCTGAGGGAACCCAACCCCATGATGATCGAAATCCCTTGTGTCATCTGTGGTTGTCTTTCAAAATTATTCTCAATAGCTCCATCTCTGCTCTGTTAATTACTACAACAGCCAACTTGCCTTGAAAGCATCATTCAAACATAATGTCCTATTGTCTTAAGATTGTGTACTTCCAGTGATAAAATTCTCTCTCTCTCTTCGTGAGCTCTGTTCTTCAAAGTAAATAAAATCCCACGGCAGTAAGAAATGCCAAACAAAGTGGACAAGAGGGGAAAGATGTTGTTTGTCTGGAATCTTTGTGTGTCAGACACAACCCTGCTTTGTTTGCCGCGTCTATCGGCCATTCTGAGGGGAGAAGTGACATTGGCTGGTTCGATAGGATTGTGGCTCACACACTGGTAATGGAAAGGCTGTGTACCACGAGGTCTACGTAGTTAGGGGCTAGACTTGTGAATAATTTGATTAGGTTGCAGGGGAATATATCTGGAGGATTATGTAAATGGCGGTGCCCTCGTGCAGAATTCTTTTGAACTCTTCAGAACTCACATCTGCCGGGGTCGACAGCGAGACAGGACGGCTGCCTTCTTGTAGCCTGATTCCTCTGTGTTGCAGGAAGGTGTTTAAAGGTCATTTTTAGTACAAACAGACTCGTCCTGAAAGACCTCTCTGTTCCAAAGAACTTCAATTTATTTTTTGTTGATGCCCACCCAATTATCATTTTCTTTGAGTCAACAATAGCTGAGCTTAGGACAATTATTGTTGTATACTAATTAGCCAGGCTGTGTGCGTGTGTGTCACCAGTAACCTCTCGCAATCATTGTGTATGTACACACTGGAATAGCTTTGACCTGTTTACAATATATTTAAGGTGATATCTGCCTCTCCCTCTGTGCCTCCTGATTATGAGATTTTTCCCCCAAGCCTTATTTGGTGTATTTCTGGGTGGGGATATGTTTGTGTTGAGCACTATGGCAACCAAAGTCAAGGTGACCAAGAGCATGTTGCACACATTAGATTACAAGAATAGAGGCAGGAGACAATGCAGTCAGCACAAAATAGCATTTATCTGCAGCCTGATTGTAGGGATTTCAGAGAGAGCGTCCCTCGGCTGGCTGTGGATCTGTTGTCTCGGTGAGTCTGACCACTGCGCTCTCAGCTGTGTGAAAGGAAAAGGACACCACTTGTACAGTGGCTTTTGTATGTGCTGTTTGTCTGTGTGTCACAAACACCTTAACATAATGGAAGCCGTGAAGATTTTGGCTTTTATCTGAATAAGAGTTAGTTAGGAAAATAATCTCTGAAGCCTTTATCTTTTTTATCTGTTTGATAATCCGTCAGATAATGTTCATTTTATCTTTTACTGTTGTCAAAAGTCTGATAGAGTAGAACAATGTTTTCACTTCACTTGTACAACAATTGCAGTGTTCTTCTAAAGGCACTTAAATCCCACTCACAGTAACTTATTATACTCTGTAGGGGGTGTTCTGACTGTGTTTGATCAATCTCCAAAAAAGCTAAAATGCTCTGATATTAGCAGCTGGTTGGAAATCTGGCAGGCTCATAGCAGCACATGTTTAGTAACTCTAGCAACTTCTGCTTGCTCGTGCGCTGCGGCTGCAGTTGTATGTTTGGGCCTTCAGAGATGAAGTGTTTGGGACTGCTCTGCTCAAACTGAAGCACCAGAGCCAGCACAGTAAAAACTTAATCACTTTGGCAGGCCATGGAGTTGTGGGATTCAGTCTCACTCAACAAAACATGAAAAAGAAAACAAGCAGATTTTTACAGTGCTTAACCTCTTGGTTTATTATAACTTCCTTCCACATGTGAACCCCCATACTGTGATGGATCTGTGAAATATGGGGAATGTCAGACCTGGTGCTTATGTGTGCACTCAATCCGTTTCCTCTCTCAGAAAAGCTGAAGTCCTGAAATATTGACTTAAAATAAGCTTGACAAAACCTCCCACTTCCCCTCTTTGAGAGTGTTTTCTTTTTATTCCCAGGAATGTATGCAGGGCAGTAAGCGGTTACTTTACCAACAGGAAGGATGATACAAGGACATACTGTAATTATGTTCAAAGATACAGTTTCAACCCAGTTTTTACTTGTAAAACTTAAGCAATCAGTTTTGGAATCTAAAAGAATCCTCTTTTGTGGTTGTCATGTGCTATTGAAAGAGTCTGCTTTGCCTCGGCTTGTGACCACTTGTTGAAGGGGTTGGGAGTGATTTAAGGAGGGCAGCTGGATAACAGAGATTTTATTTATCTATTCTGAGAGCCCTTTATTTTTGCAAGCAGTTCTCAGCTTGCAGTTGCTGCTTTCATGACTTTGTGGCAGATTTTATGAATTGTGTGAAACGAGTGTGACTAAAGCGAGGAACAGCTGAGAGCGTGAATGTGTGGAAAAAAGTGAAGAAAATGGAAATGGGAGAGATGTTAACCAGAGGGCAATCGGGATCTCTGGAAGTGCTGCTTAAAGAGCTAAATGCTGATTTCCTTTGGCTCTGTGAGGAGAAAAACTGAAGGGCGGCAAAACATTCTCGAAAGGTTAGGGACTGGGACATGTTTTTTCTTTTTTTTTTTTTTATGTAAAGCAGGTTAGACCCAACTTCTTTTTTTTTGAGTTGGAAATTACATATAAAGGTAAATTAGACACACTAGATTGAGGAATTTGAGACACAAGAGTTGCTTAAAGGAGAAACTTCTTTGAACACAGCTTAGTTATTCCTTAGTGTTTCTCACAGCTTTGTGAAACCTCTCAAGGCATCTGAATATGTGATTGTTCAGTGCTGCTACGTGTGTGAGGATAGATATGAAGGCATTATTACCCAGGAGAGGTCAGGGGTCAAGCATTAAGCAAACTGCTTGCTTGGATCCTTGCAGCAGAGATGTCACACTGTTGGCCCGGGAAATACTCCTGTGTCTTGTCTAAATAATCAAGGAGTCCTTCAGCGTACAAATTTGAAAACTGATAAATAAACACATGAGACTGAGATTAAGAGAAGTATCACTGCAAGGAGCCCACAGTGCCAAAGTGGAGATTTTTTCCCTCTTCATTATAGATCAACAGAGTTGTGTTTACAGAGCCTTGCTCAGGAACAGGAATACCCTGTTGGTCTCATGCTGTCACCTTTAGTCTCATTTTCTTAGTTTCATAACAATGTTTTTTGACCTTCTACATCGGAACAGTTTGTTTTAACCTCATTCCACAAAAAAATGCAGGAAAACAATGGAACGGGCTGGGGTAGGAAGTCACATCTGACCATATCAAAAACAGATTAGGAACTGAAGAAATACATAAAGCACAGAAAACAGTGGCACTGAAAAAAGCACCAATATATATGCTTCACAGTATTTGTCTAAGTACTCTTTCTGTTCATAAACTGGTGTAGTATTTTATCTAAAAATACAACAGCTAGAATCTTTGTCAGCTTACACTGCCCTTTACAGTTTGTCCTGCTATTGAAAGTAAGTAAGAATGTTCATCATGATTACTATGGTAACCCCGATCCCATGAAAGTTGGGAAGCTTTGTAAAATGATAACAGAAACTAATTGTGGTCATTAAAACCACATTTAAACCATATCTAGTTGATGGTAGGGCAAAGACAACATGCCAAGTGTTCAAACTGAAAAATGTTATCTTTTGTGAGAAATATATGCCCTTTTGACATTTTATGACAACATGATCGATAAAAACCAGGGTATGTTAATTGTTGTTGTTGTTGTTGTGTTTCCTCCTCTCTAAATATCACAGTTTAATTTTGGGGGGAGTTTAGGGAACCAGTTTTTTAAGTTTTTAGAGTGAAATGATGACCTGGTTTTGCCTGGCATAGGATTTCATTTGCTGGACAGTTTAGGGTTTCCTTTATAATCTGTGTCATGTAGGGGTTGGAGAAAAAATTGATACAGTATAGTATGGCAATATGTTGTCTGGTGATATATCGTATTGTTTTATTTATCAAGTATCCATTTTTTTCAAAGTAATTGTTAATATGAAGTCAAATCTATGATAATGGAAAAATAAAATCAACGGTTTGTTTGGTGATGTTGGAAGAGGTGACATCATAGAGCAGGAGAAAGTGAGTACAACAAATATATATAAGGTTTGCAAGATGTGCTACATGAAAATAAAATACTGCGCAAATAAGACAAACACAATGGAAAGCCAAATGCTAAACCTAAACCCTTTAGCATTAATGGTGTCATCCTAAATGTATGCACATGCATACTATCACAGATACTGGATTTTGGACTGTGCTCATGATTTCCAGAATGCAAGTTTTAAATATTCAGACTACAAGGCAGTTTTCCTCTCTGTTACTGTCCAGTGTAAGTGGGATCATGTTTGTACAGTATATGATATATGTTTGCCTTTTGCATGGCACAAATTTCTGTCTTTTTTGTTTTTGGAAGCAGACAGTGGTTCTTGGATGTAATCTTGAGCCCATACAGTCATTTCCATTACAGAGTCATGTCCGTCTAAGCAGTGCTGCCTGAGAGCCTGAAGATCTGGAGCTGGGTTTTGGTCTAGTTCATTTTTGACAGAGATTTCTCCAGATTTTATAAATCTTTAAAGACCCACTCTGATGAAAATCATGTTTTTCCTGTTCCTGACACATTATGAGAAAAGTAAGCACAAAATTACATTTCTGAGTATTTCTGCATTCAAATCACTGTGAATCTCCGGAAGACCTAAACTGCAGGTTCAGACACAGTAAGATTTCCTATGTCACAATTCCAAGCTCTTCCCCCGGAGACCCGCTGGAGAGATAGCGAGAATGATTGCAGGACAAGCATGTGCTTTAGTGGATTGCATTGCTCTAAGAAAGCTAATTATGATATTAACTTTCATCATGTCCCCAAAGACATTGGCATCTAAGAGCTGAATTGCTTCTATGTTACCTGCTACTTCTACTACACTGGCAATGTTAGGCTGCAAGCTTGCGTGAAGAGGAGTGTGCATAGCAGCGCTGTTTCCGCCCACGACTCAGAGGCAAATTGCTAATGTGCTACTGGAGCTCTGCAGAAGAAAAGAGCTTGACAATGACACAGGTAATGTGATTTTGGCTAAAACCTTCATAATCACAATTTAAAGACCACTGATGACACTTTAAATAAAAAAAAGATTGGAGAGGGACTTTAAATCAGTTTATGTATCTGCATGATAAAATCTCCTAATTCCTAATTTGGGGAATTTGAGGAGATTGCAAACCATCAAAATCAAAATTACAGGGTCACAACTTTTTTAGGAATTGAGGTTTTAGTGAAAGTGTTAATAGTTCAAGTGTCAATGAAAATGCATAAATGTTGATAATAGTCTAACTTGTTATTTCACAGTCCTCATGCTCTGCTGTTATCTGATCAAAGTGGCATTCTCTTGGAGTTCCTGCTTGCCTCCTGTTAGAGTCTCTAAAGAGGGACAAAGTTAGAGTGAGCATTATCACACAAACTCAAAATAACTCCAGAATTCAGACAGTGCCTTATTAGGTCATGAATCCACAATGGGAAGGAAGTGAACAAAAATGTATTGACAGGCCGGAGTTGTATTGAGTCCAGGCAAGGGCAGCTTAACCTAAGATAAAGATGTTGGCTTGGCTGTAACTTTAAATAACGATTGGAGTAAGTTTTGCACATTTTAGACGGGGGTTAGTTTAAGTTTTGTTGAAATGATGTAGATCTTGCAATGTATAAAACACATGCAATGTCTTCATGTCATTTCCTCAGTTTTGTCTCAGTACATCACCTTGCTGAGTATTGAATAAATTCACAGCTAACTGGGAGTGAAGCACATTATTGGGGATTTTCTTCCATAGGTCTTTCTTGTGGTGAGTTATCAAAGTCTGAGATTGCTCACTAAAACATAATTGTTCAATAAGAAAGTTTTACCAGCGAACAGCTCAAATGTGAAGCTAGAACAGCCTGACAGTCTATTTATGAAACCTCTTCTGAAAAAGTGCCCGTATGTTCCATCGCATGCCTCACTTGTGTTTGTTCTATTTTTGACCTGATTGTGTCCTTGAAAAGGACAAGAAAACTGTCAGTCTGTGAGTGCGTGAGTGTGTGCATGTGTGTGTGTGTGTGTGTGTGTGTGTGGGACAGTTGGTTAGGGCTGGCTGAATGGCGTCACAAGTGCTCCAGTTTCAGAAAAGTGACACTTTGCCTTGAAAGACTCTTCAGGGCAGTTAGATAAGGAATTTAGTGGCTTTATCACAAATGCCACAATTTAATTTAAAAGGGTGAGGCACTTAGGATCTGGCACCAGCCTTTAGTCTAGTGATAAATTTGCAAGAAAGTGGAAAAGATTGGAGCCTGAGAGCAGATTAGCAGGATACAAATATAGAAGTGACATTATAGTGGGTATTAGTCAGGTGCTCCTCTGAACAAGTGGCTTGGTCCTGATAGCTCTGAGAATGGGGCCTGGCTGCAGGCTGTGGGACTGCTTCTGGACACTCGGTTGGACCTTTTTTGTAAGGAATCAGCACCTTGATTTGGAATATTTAGAGTGATTTAGTTCATCAAATTAGATTGTGTGTCAGTGTGCTCAAGGACCAGGTCAGCGGTTTGAAAATTGGGTAATTCTTTGTTTTGCTTTCTGTGTCATTATTCTGTTTGTTACTGGGTAAAGTTGGCAGAAATATGTAGGATCCCCAGCCAAAACAGAACCAGGACTCTCACTGAATTGCTCCTTTGTTTTTCATACAGATACAAGCATACACACAACACAAATACAGTGATTGTTTCAGCCCTGGAATAAAGAATATAATCGCTTTATGCACCAAGCACTGAACAAAAAGGACAGCAAGAAGTCATTTTTGACCATTTTTCTTGACTTGAGAATTAGTCTGTTATTTGACTACTAAAAACATTTTACAATTTGGGGGGAATCAAAGGTGATCTATCTAATTGGACTTATAAAAATCTGACAAAAAAAACATCGGAGAAGCTCTAACTGCAATTCCTGTCAATGTTTAAGATAAGATATTCCTTTATTTGTCCCACAAGGGAAAATTCAAAAATTTACAGTAGCGATAAATACAGAAGAGAAATTAAAGCATTAAGAATGAAAAAACTAAGGAGCTAAAAAGAGGTAAAAAAGACATCCACATTAGTGTTATTTACATTATTTACAGCTGTTATGTACATGTTTTATTACAGTTGAAATATTGAGATGTTTATATGTATGACTATATACACAGAATAAGCATACATGTGTACAGAATATACATATAAATATGATTTATTGCACACTGAGGTTTCTCTAGCCTCTATCCCTAATTATCGTTAAGACTTGATTTTTGGTTTGGATCCAGATTTTTGGCCAGATGACTAAAGTTGTCTCATGACTTGCTCCCTTAGATAAAAATCAAACTCATTATCACCGTATTTTTTTTTCCTACAGTCTTACGCCACCTTTTATTTTTTTCATTTTCTGTCTGTGTATCCTGTCTAGCCACAGAAGTCAGTAGTCTAATAACATGGACCTTATCCTTCTCTTCATCTGACCTGAAGACTCAGACAGTTCAAGACTGAAAACACCTGAATAACTGCCCTGTGAATTTGACCCAACATGGATAAATTTAAGGAGAGTTTGCTGGATTAAGATCTTATAAATCCTGGAAGTATTTAAAGTTGTGCCAAAAGTCCCAGATTGTCCTTGACACAAAGATTTTCAGCTTGCAGAGAAACCAGTGAAGAAAAACACTTAAATTTTTGAACGTTTTGACTCTATAGCAGAGAAATACTGCAGATTTATTCTGCTGTATTTATCGAGGTTCTACATTAACAGTATTGTGTTTCTCAGTGCAACATCCAGGCTGATGGGCTGAGCTAAAATCATGTAATTTGTTGTGCAATAACACACATGCGTTCTTTTTTTGGTGGAGCTATGCTTTACGAACTTTAATTACATTCCCATAAGCTGTCTGTGTTTATATATGCTCATACCCTGCTTTTGACTTAGGCAGCAAGTTCACACCTGTTCTTATGTGGTGGTTTTTAAAAGCAGGGTGGAAAATAAAGTGAATGAGGAAAACTAAGGGAAAGAGCACTCTCCAAGAACCCCACAGTTTAAACGGAATATTCAGACACTTTTCCTTTTAATGCCATTGATGAATTTATTTAATCTTGGAAACATTCTGCCACTGAAGTTTTCCTTTTCCCCTGTCTTCTCTCTTTTTCTCCATGAATGGGTAAAAAAATCCCCCCAAAATTCTATTTTTCCTTTCCTCTGATCCTCAAACATACATTTTTTTGTGACTTAACCTTCCTTTTTTCCATTTGCTCCCCCCTCCTTCCTCTCTTCCTCTCTCTTCTTTTTTTTTTTTTTTTTGCAACAGTTGGTGTGTGTTCATCTTGGCAGCGCTCCATGGTCTGTTTGATGTGGTTTCCAGAAGTCCTGAACTGGAGTCCCTGGCCACTTTTTCTGTCATCGGTAGACCTGCTGTCTCTTTAGCCTCCATTGACTCCTTTTAACCTCCTCCTACCTTCCTCACACTGGAGCAGCTGCTTTCTTTCCCGCTGCACATTTCTGCATGAAAGTCTTCTGATTCACATTATTTGGTTGGAAACTGTGTTTTGCTGTTGACTGCATACACAATTCTGCTTTTGTAAATACAGTTTACTCTGTAGTAAAGCAAAATCTACATTACCAAACATCCTCCAGGCTCTGCTCCAGTCACTGGAGAAAAATGAAAGAAGGCTACCATTTCCCTGTTGTAAATATATATTAGAGGAGACCTGAATTTATGCTTCTCTTCTGAAGTCAGGAGTCACCAAAGACTTGTGCTTTTTCCATCCCAATAATATCTGAGATCAAAGTTAATCAGCTCTGTTGAACCTATTTCTACCAGTGACCTCCACATGTTGTAATTTGAGTGATAGAAGAAGTGGGGGTGGTAGAGCCAGAAAGATAGTAGCTTCAAAGAGGACCTCATAGAGGACACTCAGTGACCCTATATGGGCGCCTTTCCTGCATATACCAGCACGTTTAAAGGGAAACTGATAGGCAGGTGAAATATCTGCCACTTACAGAAAAGAGGCAGGGACCAGCGAGGGCAGACAGGACAGAATGGATATGGATTGGGTCACAAGGCTGACAAGGCCTTCCTAAGGAAATGAATATTCTTTGCAAAGTACACTTGGTGACACTTAGGTCTGAGGACAAAACACAAGAGCAAAGGAAATCCATTCCTCACTTTTATTTGGCATGCAAACTATTGAATCATGGATGTTTTCCATCACATTATACCCAACGTGCTGCTGTGTTAGGCTTTTTATGGTGACATTACAACAAGATATGTTGTGTTGGTCGAACACTCTTTATTGTATCATGATTTGTAGTGCTAAGGGAAATCCTTGTTCTTTTATCCTTTCAGGCTTTTGGTTTGAAACAGGAAGAAAAACAGGGAATAATCAATGGACTTTTTACATGTTCTGGAGTGAATATGTATCCACTTTCACTCCACTAGTACAGATACATATTATTATCAGTGGGACTTCCACTTTGTATCAGATGAAGGCGTTGTGGTGAAAGCAGAGCTAAACATGCCCAAGGGGCTGGAGTGAAACCGGTGTCTCATTTTCAGGGGCAAACAAACACATACAGGGAGCAGGCATTGCTGTCACATCTCCCTTAGCTCCCTTGTCACCCCCGAGGGCAGCGGACAGGAGCAACCTCTGCGCTATGGAGATGCCACTAAAACCTGTATGTAGTCATGCGGGGACACAGTCACAGACATACAAACATACACATTTACAGCACCAGGACTCAAATTCTTAAACGTATGCTGCCTCAGAAACATGAATGAATACAGAAAAAAAGAGGCTCTGTGTTGTTCAAAGATCACCAATTTGACCTTCCAAGCAGAAAAAGCAGCAGATTTAGCCCACGAACCCGGCTCTGTTTTTAACTTTCCCAGATTGATCAGTGATTGTGCTGGCGCCGAGCAGCTGTATAGCTTTACATCAGCGAGGAGGAGGTTTAGTGGTTTTCAATAGTATTTCAGGATATCCTTGCTGCTGCTGCTGCAGTTTTTGGCAGACTAACAGCTGCCACCAGCATTAGTGTACAAGCAGACACTTCTTAATGTTCCCCAGCCCTGGCCTCATGTGTCACATGGACTCCATCCAACCTAACCCAGTTGCTCTCCGCACTGGCTGGATTGGTTGAAAGCGGTGCGAAACCAGCAATTTACAATATGCTTAAGATGATCCTTTCATTTTGGTTTAAGGTTAGTAACAAAAATGTGACCAGTTCTGACGTTTTGGTGGCCTCTGTTTGCCCACAGAAAGCAAACAGAGGAGAGACACCTTTCTAATTATGTGTGATTTATTATCACAGATGAAAAGTGATTCATTACTTTTTTTTTTTAACACTCTCTGGACCAAGGGAAATTAGTTACATTGCCCTGTTGCTTATAATTTGACAACGCTGCCTTGAATTCACTGAGATGTAAAATTAATTCTTGCAGTTGTTTTCAATGGGACTTTCATGTTTGCCTTGCTCTCTGTTAAATTCTGAGAAAAATACAAATGATTGGGCTTGGCTCAGTAACTTCATTGTGCAGGGGGAAGAAAGCCAAACTGGACGGGGTTCAGTGGTTTTAGGCCTTTTGAGGGTTTGTGTGTCAGGATTTATGTATTTAATTACACACTCATTCTACTAATGTAAGTGGAGAAAAAAGGAAAAAGGGATAAAAAGCCCCATCAAGCCTATAAGCTTGTAGTTTCCCTCTTACTGAAAGTTGGCCACTGCTGCTGTTTAGCTCCCCTTGAACTGGGCTAATACTTGTCTATTCCGATTAGGATTAGTATGTGTTGCATGGGCTCAGGGACCCGGGACTCGTAATCTAATAAATCAAGATAAAAAACTCCGAGATTGGTTTACAGAGGGCTTGGATTTACTATTGGCCATCTCAGAGAAACAGGGATTAACACAGCATTTGGAGCTGTTGCTTCATCCCCCCTCAATTCTCTGCATGGGGAGAAAGAGACAGACTGAGGCGCTGAGAAAGAGAGAGAGAGGAAGACTTAGAGGGAGGGGGTAGAGGAGTCAGGCTGGCTCAGGCTTTATATTGCCTAACAGACAGCAAGTTAAACTCACTGTGACAAGGTCAGGTTAGTCCTTGTACAAAAGGCTTTGTTCCATAGGCAGATTAAAGGTCTCTTTGACAGTTTTTACACTTTTGGATCATGTTGAACATGTTAGGAGTTAATCCTGTCTGTGAGAGGAAGAAGCCCTGCTGCCACAGAAACAGAAGATAGGTGCAGATCTATGTTAGTAGATTCTGCAAACAGATAATCACAAAACAGGTCATGATGTGGTTCCTTTTTGTATTTCTATTATGGCACTAATAGGAAAATGCATTCTGACCATATGTTCCCTTTTGATAAATGGGTGGAAATAAAGCACCGGCACCTCAAATGAGCTTTGTACATCAACAAATTTAAAAGCTGAAAAAAAAATCAGCTTTGAATTATGTTTATTGTTGATCCGCTGCTATTTTCCTGTACTGCAGCAAAAAGCTGCTAATGTCTCCCACACTCAGACACAACACATGATTACACCACTGTGTAAAGTGGAGCCAGCCCCACTCTCTTCTTACAGTAAAAGATACATTTTTCCATGAAGCATCTACAAATCAGACATAAAACTGTAACAATAACTGTACAACACTTAATATGAGTTTACGTTTCGCCTTTTACACCGATAACAGGACAGCTCTGAGGTGAGATAGTATAAATGTTGTGTTAAAAAATGCTGTTTACTTTCGAAAAGCATAGGTTTCACAGCCAATTCATGGAAGATAACTGACAATAGTAAACCCTGGAGAATAGTTTGTCTGCTTTGGTTAAATGTTTACCTTGTCCCAGGACAGTGTGCTAATGGACAGTGCTGTCAGTCATTATGATGAAAGGACTGCAAATACTCCTTCATAATGTGCTATAACATTTTAAGTTCAATTTCTGATGGTAATGATGTACAGTCATCGGCACTCACTGGATCGCTTTCCTGGCAAATTATAAAATCATTCAACGATAGTTTATCCAAAAACCTTTTAACTTCACACTGGGGAGCTACATTAATAGTTTAATACGACTCATGTTAGTTTTTGCTGTCTGTTAATAATAAGTCTACTGAGTTACTTTGAGTCATGTTCGTAGTTAAATATGAAAAGCATTCAACTTGAAAGCTACCGTAAGTAACTTTTGGTTTCGTCAGTTTTGGTGCCCCTTGTGGACAAAGCTTTGTCTTGACGTTCAGCAGTTGCTTTCAACACCTATTGAGAATATGAGCTTTGTAAAAGGTAGATTGACATGTCAGTCTTCTGTTGAGCACTTTACCTTAAGGAACACCTTTATCAGTCCTTTCACTGATGGTCTGGTTTGCCTTTCCTGGTGTAAATAGATTTAATGAAGAGTACAGGGACTATTTTATCTGATGTTTTATTGTCCTTCAGATGTAATTGTTTTATGAAACTAAGGGTTATAAATAAATGTTATTTATCCATGACAGCACAAACTTAAAGAGGACTCTATTGCTTTAAACATCCAAGCTTATTTAGATTAGAAAAAATTATACATTTCCAGCAGTCATCCATCTGGTGCAGTTCCTTTTTCTGCTAAGTGTTTTTCTAAGAAACAAGACAGAAATATCCTTCCACCTGAAATTTGAGCTGTCTCTATTTCCGCTCTGATACCAAGGTTTCACATAAATTTTTACATATCAAAGTGGAATGTTCTTTCATCTGCTTGCTTGTCTTGTTAAGCAGTATCAAACACAGGAAATTCTTTCTACATGCACATATAAAGGTGAAAAAATCCTAGCAACATATCCCAGCTTGTGCAAAAGGGGCCTTCCCTTTCTTTCTGGGGGAACTGTTAGCAATATCACTGGGCAATTAGCAAGGAAACGAGAGAGAAATGGAGAAGCCAATTACTTCTGCGAGTTAGCTAAAGGCCATTTTAAACTGTGTGCCCATGACATAATAATGTTTATGGTAAATATTATAGTTGGAGACAGTGAGTGCATGGCGTGAGAGGCAAGGGAAAAAAAGGCATCAATCTCAGATCGAGAATAATTTATTAAGATCTGAGATGTGGCAATTACATGGAAAGGACCAAAAAGAAAAAAAAAAAAAGAAGAAGCCAACTCTCCAGGAACCGCATACATGATTGCAATCTTGATTAAATCCCCCTGGATCTAATGAGTTGATTTTCTGCTGTTAATATTGCATTGGCTGATGATGGATTCGTTAAGATAATGGAACGAAGCTAAAATATAAATGACTCCCTGTCAAGGAGCAGATTTTCGTCATTTTCCGTCTGACACCTCCGCCGTGGGGATTTGGTGAGGCCTTTTTGTGTTTAGAACCATCAGGATCTGGAATACTAATTGCTCATGTGTGGACGCTTCTAATGCCTCCCCTCCTCTCTGTACCCCCAACCCCTCCCTATCGTCTTGGTAAATATCTCCTTCACATCTCTACACAGAAACAAAGAGACAGACACTGCTTTCTTGCTTCAATGCAGAAGTTATCTGTGTTTTTGTAAAATAATACATATTGCATAGAAAAAACTCTATCTTGTCTATGTGAATCACTGGTTTTTGTGTTGTTTGACACACTGGCTCAGCTTCTGAATCACAGAAAAGTGCCAGGTATATTACAAGGCAGCGTATATGACACAAAAATTGCCAACAAAAAGAAAACATGTAAGCAATAGCCCTCTAATATCGACCTGTGCTTTTGAGATAAATTAATAATGTGCTCTCTCTTTGTTGCTGTGCCGACCTGCTGGGCCGGTCGCTCTCAGTTTTAAATGGTCTGTCACTTAGGTCAACTGGAGGAGGAAAATAGCCGATGCATAGAATATTGATCTCATAACAGACGTGAACCACAGCGCTACATGTATAATTTTTCTCTCAAGTGTGGCAGAGAACATAATGTAAAAAGCATGTGTAATAATCTCAGGGCACACTATGGTGTGAATATGCTGATGTGATATGTGTCGTCTGAGTTGGCTGGGCAGTGTTAATCACGGTCAGTCAGTACATTCAGGTTCACACACTTTTCATGACTGATATAAGATACAAAAAGAAGCATAACAAACCTGTTGTTATAAGTTTGAAGTCTGCATCATGTCCTATGAAATTGTATGTAAATAAATGCTTTTGTTCAGTTGGTTGTAACTTTCCAAAGCTTTATTTTCTATCAAAATCTCTATCACTTTTCTTGTCAAGTGTCACGCTTGCCCCCATCCTTATTTTGCGATGATTATAATATTGCTCCTTTTTCTGCGCGATATTACCAGGGAACTCGTCTGATTGGGTCATCCCTGAGAGCCCTTTCTTCTGGGTGTCACTTTTTGTGTCCTTTAACATGGTTTTACTAAAAAGTCTTTTTTAATCAATCAAGGAGCAGGCAGAAAATAGGCTTTGTCATGGCTTGGCCTGGGGTCGTGTGATGCCTGCTCTGCCCGGTGACAGGTCTTCAAAAGGGATAAAAAGGAATATTTTGGGGGGAAAACGGGGGTTTCCATGGCACTGGCACTTGTTGCACATGGATCACCATTCTTTGGTTCTGCATGGGACTGAGGTTTCAAAGGGCCGAACAACAAAAATTAGGCGAGGAGGGGACAGCGGGACTGTGGAGGTAGCTGCCCTCAAGCCCCCAACTCTGTCCTTTCCTGGGGGGAAAGAAAGAATAGAAGCCAGGAGTGACAGCATAAAAAGGGGCCTACGAGGTGCTGTCAAATATGCATGAGTAAATGGTCACTTTCTCTCTCTGCTGTGTGTTCTCTAGGCGAGACTAAAATGCAGACTAGAAAGCACCAAGTACAGACCTATTCAGTGAGAAGTTTATTCTTGTTGCGGCTTCCACTTCATGTAATTAGAGGTTGTTAGATGTAGAATGAGGTCACGTTAACTTGTTAGTTTCTGAGTTTATGTGTGGGAAATGAAACCCGGAAATTTAGACAATAGACTGGCAGTGGCAACAGCAAAGAGGGGGTTATTCTATAAAACTTCTGTTTAGATGAGAGTCCATTTGTATGTTCCTGTTATTTAAATTTGTCATCATTACAAATTATTACTATGGTGTAATGCTAGAGCTAAAAATGCCTCTTAACCTAAAGTGTAAAAGAACTTTATTACATGCTGGTACGTTTTGCTTTACCTGTGTTTATCACATTAATATATATGTGTGCATGCATGCAGCCATAAATTTCACACATGGATGGCTTTGAGCTATTCTCACTTCTGTAAAAATGTTGTTCAGAGTGATTACCTTGAGGCTCCACCTTGAATTCCTCCAACAATTACACATTCCTCTGTCTTTGGGAAATGGCATTGTGAGGTCAAGGTTTTTGCGTGTCAGGAGGCCTTTAAGCAATTTGCAATAATTTCCATAGCATCATCACTGCCACCTTCAATAACAAACAAGGTTGCACACATGTGCTGCTCTTGATACGCACACAAGCAGCCCTACATATCTATGTGTCGGGGGGGCTTCAGCCTGGTAACACTTTGATAAAGGGGGGTCAAAAAGTCAGTAAGCACTTAAAGCCTCTGATCAAGATTTAAGAATTCAGGCATAAGAAAAGAGAGGCTATAATGATTACTGATAATGTTCAATTCTGAGTATACAGGGATGGATGTAGCTGCATGTTATTAAAACATCGGAGTATACATGTGTTTATGTCTTATTTTCTTCTCTCAGTTCCCAACAATGCGCTGCCAGCCTGTTTAAAAGGTTAAGGCAGTCGGGATATGTTCCTTGATGGGATTTTATCATGCTAGGCATGCTCTGTTTCCTGATGAATATATTAAAATTATTACTGTGCAAACAGAGTTTCTAATTACTGACCTGCTTGCCATTGTACTGTGCGTTCTGTATGCCCCCCTTCTTCTCCATGCCTTGTTTATTTATCTGCACCAGTGAATACAGAATAGTCTATGCAATGTCATTTCCATCCACATGAAAATGATTTTGAAAATGCCAATCTTGCCTATTATACAGTGTAATTACTTGTCTGCTTTTTGATTTTATCATATCTTCAGCCAGTGGGAAGATACTTGGAGAGGCTAAACATCTTAGCGAAGCTTGTCAGCTGATGATTTGCAGTGAATGAAAAAAAAAATCCCCCACTTTGCAAAGGAAAGTGCTATCTGCTTCATGTACAAAGAAAATTACTCAATTTTTGAAGGGTTTACAGATCATGTGCATGGCCTCTCTTGAGTTTCTTTGTGTCAGGTCTTGTCTATGCTGTCAGGTCAAACCTCCGTATGAAGGTTATGTAGTCAGCGGTGAACTTTTTGGTAACTTATGACTAAAAAGCCCAGAAAGAAAGCTCAGCTCTGCAGGTGATAAAAAGTCTCATGAAACATTTTTCAGATGCATGGTTAACAAACGTAATTTCAAGAAGGTATGTAAAATATGAGTGGCTGGAACAACCTTGATGCACTCTAACATCAGGAATGAGCATTTACCTGTTACCTCTGTTTTCACTCACCTGGTTTTTCAACTTTCAAGGCCAAAAACATCATTTGTTGAGCTCATTTTGATCATCAAAGCTGCTCTCATGACATGTCATGTAACTATAAGTGGCTGCATATATACGTGTGTATGTGCAGTGATAAAAGTGTCACCGATTTTACTGAAGCATCTGCACTACATCATGGGAAAGGGCAACCCTGTTGTTTACTTGTCTGCCTGCAATGTTGCACAGGGGGTTGATCAGGGGAGTTGATAGGAGCTGCAATTTAAAAAGAGGACACTGCAGCTCTGAACAAAAACAATTAAAGGAAAATGAAAGACGGCCCCCAAGGGTTAAAAATAGAAAATTATCAACATGCATACTGGAATCCACTACACCCCACCCCACACACCACCTCGCGCACCAGCTACCCCCCACATCCCCCCTTCAAACTTACTGGGCCTGCATTGTTATGTATGATCAGATCTGCCAGTTCTTCCTCTAAGCTCCTTGTCACATTTTGACTTAATGAAGTGCAACTTAGAAGGGAATTGGGTTCATCATGCTAGTCGCACGATGCTCCCTTGTTGTAGCAAACAGGAGTGGCATGGGACCGAAGCGCTACAGCGCGAGTCGTTATCATTCCGGTCAGTCTGTTTAACACAAAATTAAACAAAGAACTAATTAGTGCCTCATGAATTAATAACTGCACTGTTGCCGAGAAGAAGTTAGGTTGCTGAGGGGAGATATAAAATAAGTAGGAAGATCAGGTTGGAATTATTATTACTTTTTCTGGGATGCATGGGCTCTCAAGGTTAGGAAACTTTTGAGAGGATTGAAGAGTGACTCAACTGGTCCTTCCGAAGTCAGTTTTTGTCCTGATGTAACTCTGTACCTGGGTTAATGAATGTCATATAAGACAATGTACTTTTCTGCATATAGGAGAAAGAGAGTTGTAATAATCAACTTCATACATTTTAGCAAAGCATTTGATTTAATTATGGCAGGAACAAGGAACTTGCTCTGTGTCATTTCTCTAAACACCTTCCCCTAAAGTTAAATTATGGTCTGGATTGAAGTAGTTTCCTGTTCAGAAATCATTTTATTATCTTTGTCTTGACATTTTTGCTATTAATGCTCCATGGAAAAAGAATTAGTTGTACTTTTATTCTGCATGACTTCTGGAATCAATTCCAGCTGAGAAGAAAGAAGCTGCTTACTTATTTTCAACCAAATATGATTTCTTGGTTAGTCTGCCTGAGGAAATCACTTGTGACAAACAGCAGAAATGTGCACATACTGTACATTCACACAATGTACCCTGTAAGTGCTTCTTATGCTAAGTAGGATTTGCAAACTATAGCTTGTGCACTTTTACACTTGACAACAAAGGATACATGAGGAAAAAGGTGTATATTTTACTTTTGCATGACTTGGAAGCTTGTTGGATTATGTCAACAACTATAGATGAGCTGTGTAAACGTATAGATTTCTCTAGAACACGTACATGCAGGCGTATACAACGGAATAATCAGTGTCTTGGTTTTAATGTTTCTGCTCTGCTCTCCTTCTCAGATGAAGTGAGCCCCTGTACAGAGTGACTCCCCAGGAAGAGAAAACGAGGTAGGACAAATCTCCAACATGACTGATTACTGTCCCCACCATCTCCCCTGTTCATATCTACAACAATATCAGGCATCTTCATTAATCCCCATGGATCAATGTGTCTGGGGGTTGTAAAAATTGACAAATGACTTATTAGAATCCCACCGTTTTATTTTCCAACTGATTAACTCACAGCAATGTCGTACACTATACAGGCACACTGATGTATCTGTTTTCCAAAGAGCGCCTCTCTCTTTCTCTCTCTCTTTCTGTCTCTCTCTCTCTTTCTTTTTCTCATACAGTATAAAATGAACCCCTATCACTGTGTATAAGAAATACTTTCTGCTGCAACAACACAAGACTGTGACATGAAAAGCGGCCACATTTATAAGTTTCCTGACAAAAACAGCTGTTGAGCAGTAGTTTGTCTGACTTGCAGTATGTAAAATGTATGAACATAAATCAAGTCGACTGGTCAAATCCTTTTTCTGAATAATAAACTACTTACCCTCATTTTTAAAACCCTATTTTAATACCAGACTCCCTTATGAAGACACTGGCACATGCACTATATTCTGCTATCTGCCTCTCTGCACTCTTCAGTTAATTATAATTTAATAATCTTTTATGCCTGCTTTATGTCTAGATCTTGTTTTGGCATCATCCCACGTTGTCATCTTGACAAAATAATATAATTTTTCCACTATATAGCATTTATTACTGTAACAGACATTAGACACAGACATCTAAGTACAGATGACATCCACCAAATTAACAAGAGTATAAAACCTTTTGTTGCTGATAAAAAAAAATCTGCCTCTGTACAATTTGACTCTCGAGAGGACGCTAATGACTTGTGACTTGAAGAAACTGGGTTGCTTTTTTTTTTCTCTCCCTGAGATGAAACCTTCGGTGCTAATGATGTTAGCTGGTATGAGCACAATGCTGATGTGGGAGTCTGTCATGAGGATGCATACAACAGCCCTTGCCCCTGGCCTCCTAGTCAAGAGGGATCTAAACATTCAGAAGTGACACCGTGGGCTGTCTCATGTCAAACCGGAGACCCTCACTATCACCGGGGGGTGGCATGGCCGTGTATTGAGGCGGAGGGCTACACCACAATCTTTTGTTTCTGGTGGTGTCACTCACACACCAGAGAGAAGACACACTCCTTGCATCAATCAGAGCCCCACATACATGCTCGGTTTACTACCCTACAGCATCATGGTGACGCCATCCACAAATTTCCACATTGATACAATAACTAACAGCAACAGGAGGATGAGAGGTGTAGGTCAGATCTAGTGCAACTATATCCCCCTCATAAGGATGGACATGTACACACAAAGGCATCTTGTTCTATGAAGCAAAGCTCAGTCTGAGGTGCAGACTGTGCAGAATTATTGAAGTTTCCCCCTCTTTAACAGCATAACATCAACATAACTGAGTACAGTTAGTTTAATTGGGTTTTGATATATGTTAATATTACTAATCATAAAGGCCAACTGGCTCTTACACAGGGCTGGCATGATGTCCCTCCTCTCCTTTTGGCTCCCACAGACTTAGGGTAGTGAACGCTCCCAGAGCAGGGTCCCTCTCTTAGACAGTGGGAAGAAAATTAAACTGCCAAATTTGTTTTCATTGGTTCCAGGGACAATCTCCAGGGCTTTCAAGGCTTTTAATTGAGCTCACTGAGCAGAAATTTGTGGGGCTGCTTACCAACAACAGTCGTGTGTCCTTTTTACATGTCTTTGATCACAGGGAAAGATACAGCAGGTTTTAAAGTGAAGTGATACTTTGATGAAAATCTCTGTACAAGAACTATTTTGGAGTCTTGGATCTGTTCAGGTTCTTTCACAACCTATAAAGTACCTGACAGGAAAAAAGGAAATTGGTTTCAAATGTTTTATAATTGAAAATTTAGACACTTATTTCATTTTTTGTTGGCTTTTCAGAATTTGTGTGTGGGAGTGAAAGGATTCTCAAACAGGAGTTCACTCAGTCTCAGATAAAAGTAAATAAAGCTCCCAGTTTGCTGTAGGGAAGATAATTTGTCTCACTGAGAAAAAAAGAGAAACAGCTCATAGAATTAAACTTATTATTATTGTGTCAAGCAGTTAAATATAACAAAAACAAGACACCATCCTCATATTTCTTGACTTTTCTCTCTCCTACATGCTTTTTCTTTTAAATTTTTCCGGTGTGTCAAAACAAGCAAAGGCTACATGGAAACGGCAGCCCTGTGTAAATATTTATGATGTAACATCTCCATGTGAATAGACTTTCCTCCCAATCCATCCATCATTACGGGCATATCGTGAAAGCCCTCCTCCCGTTGGTGGCTCAGGGCCTTAGGAAGCTCAGACAGGAGCGGCGTGTCCCCCTCTCATTCAAAGTATTTGTTTTTCTTTTGACTGGGGGCAGCCCAGCTGTGAGGGCATTTCATGTGTCAGCCCCTCTGTTTTCATTCAGGACTGACTTCAAAGCCCATTTTTGGTTCATTGTTTCTGTGACGGGGCTGCTGGACCTCAAAATGCCCAAACAGAAAAATGTGATGTAGGTCAAATTACAGCAGTTGTGCCCCTGAAAAAAGTGGGATTCTTATGGTTCAAACTTAAAGCCCTGGTTACTGCCTAACCCTGGCTTTTGTGTGTGTTGCCCTCTTCCTTTTTTATGTATTACTGCAGAGCTGAAAGGAAGTTTAAAGTTAAGAAAAAAAGGCTGTTTTTCTATATGCTTGGCAAGAAAATCTGTGTTTAAGTCTGATCTTTGCTTGCTGAGGATGTGTTGCATATCTGTCAGGACCTGTGCTTGCACAATTCTTCCACTTATGCAATGGTTTCAAACGTGAAACATGTCTACATGTGGTCCAAACAAAGTGAGCTGTACCTGCTGTATTTCCTCAAGCTCGGCAGTCTTTAAGAATGTGCAGTGGATTTATGAGGTTGTGTGTTTGCAGAAGTAGGTAAGTCTACTGCCTTACCTAAGTGGATTACAAGGTTTTAGGCTTTTCTCCTTGCACAACTTATCGGCAGAAAATAGGCGTTGCAGACGTTAGCGAAATATTGCCACCCAGGCTCTCATAACATTATCATTAGCCATGGAGGATTGCTGAAATGTGATTAATACATCACCATTTTGACAGACTGAGCCTGAAAAGGTAATATGGATTATTACAATGGTTGTAGAGCTCAATACCGCCATCCAAGTTTATCCATTTATCTGCAATGATGAGACTCCTTTGTGTTGTATAGCATTGTAACATCTATCTAAATAACAAAGGATATCGCTCCCATACACAATTGTTGAGCTGTTAATATTCAGCCCATGCAACAATGCACATGGGAATGGAGTGCTGAGACAAAACTTGACTCTGAACGGGGGAAAAGTCCATAGAACATTATGAGAATTATGAATCGATGTTCCAGCTTCTAGTACTGGGCACTTTTTCCTTGGCTGAGGTATCTGATTACGTTCAAACGAAAATATTGCTCCTGTTTTGTTCAATTACCACTGGTTGAGTGCTGAATGATGCAATTCACTACCTAAGAGCCTTTTTTTTTCTTTCTTTGTGTATTCATTTTGGGTGTGTTTCATTTAGTTGGCCTTGTACGATTCATGTTGAATAAACGCCATTTTTCTGTCGTTTCAAGTGCCTCTTTTCTCTCTGTGGATCCATTCAAGCTTTCAATACCTTTTCTCCCCCTCTCTTCTCCTGTCTCTTTTTTCCACAAGCAGGAGGGTTTTACTTTACTCCTTTGTCATCCTAATTGATTGCATTAACCTTTTGAGTATTGAATTT